AAACTTCAAATGAAGAACTCTAAGGTGTTTTATTGAATACACAACCCTTTCCTACTTCTCCAGTTTCCTTTCATCACTAACAAACTATGATGCATAGTGTCTACCCTGTAGGAGGGAAATAGATGTTTTAAAACATTTTGGCATTTTGGAGACACAAGAGACTAAGAAATACACAATAGCAGGAACAGTTTTTCTTTTCTTTCTTTTTTCTTTCTTTTTTTTTTGGTACTGAGTTGGAACCCAGGGGAACTCTATTATTGAGCCACATCCTCAGCCCTTTTTACTTTTCATATTGAGACAGTGTCTCACTAAGTTTCCGAGGCTGGCCACGAACTTGCCGTCCTTCTGGTTTAGCTTCCAGAGTTGCTGGGATTACAGGTGTGCACCACTGCACTGGCCAGGAGGGGCACTTTATAATGAGAGAGAAGCATCACACTTGCTGATAGATCATTTACTACAGAAGCCCTCATGGTCAAAATACTGGAATGAAAACATACATTAGTAAGAGTTCCATCTCTCTTTGAAAATTAAAAAAAAAAAAATCTCTAATGAGCAATTCAGGAATTAGCTCTGACACTTTTATACAGGATGCTTCCCAAATTGTCTAAGGTGAGAGGGCAGGGCTGTGGGTGTCCTTTGATGGATCCTGAACATTTAATTCATATGATGTGCTTTCTCCTGTAGGGTTCTTACTTCCTTTCTTATTGTAGCATTTACTCATTAAACTCTTCGTTAGAAAAATTATATTTGAAATAATAATTATTAAGCAACATGTTTTAGTTTTTATTGATGTTATTAAAAATGAAAAAGATATGAACAAGTGTTTCTCCCAAGATATGCTTAGTGCTGCGTTTGTACAAACTCAGATTTAAAAGCATTTTAATGACCTACTGTCCTCTAGGAATTACACTGACATAGGTAGGGTATTCATTATTTCCAATATTCCCTTTAACTTTTTTCTTTTTCTTTTTTGGTAGGGATTACAGATGTGTGCCACCAAGCCCAGCTCCTTTAACTTTTCTTAAATTTTTATCTATGAAAGCAATTTTTGGTGAACTCAAACATTTATCTACAGATTTTTTTGATTTACTTATGATGAAAATATAATTTTTAAAAAACTTATTTTGATCCATTTGAAATTTCTGGCCATTCAAGTTTTCTCCTCATTTTAAACAGAATACTATATGAATTTCAGGTTGCGTTTTATCAAATTTTTTTTATAAACTGATTTTATTTTGGAATTTGATAATCTCCTTTTAAATATTAACTTTCTTTACTGAGTATCAAGTCTCTCTAAGTGCAATTCCAGTCTCATTTCACAGTTAAAAAAAAATGCTGTGGAAGGGAAGAACCAAGTTGCTATGGTGCTTTCAATGAAAACTAGAACCTCAGGTTGTTTAAAAATGTTAAGCAATTTCCTTTTCACTTTAATTTGTTTTGTGGAGGGGTGGTGGGTACCAGGGATTGAACTCAGGGGTACTTGACCACTGAGCCACATTCCCAGCCCTATTTTGTATTTTATTTATTTAGAGACGATAGGGTCTCGCTGAGTTACTAGCACCTCACTGTTGCTGAAGCTGGTTTTGAACTTGTGATTCTCCTACGTCAGCCTCCAGAGCTACTGGGATTATAAGTGTGCACCACCATACCTGGCTTCACTTTAATCTTTAAAGAATGAAGATGTGAAGCTGTAAGACCTGCAGGTCATTTCTCTTTTTATACTATGAGTGTCACTGTTTACAATGAAACAGACTCATCTCATCCAACATATTTCATTTGTTAGGATTCTGTGTTTTTATCCTGCTTTATCACTTTATAGCTTTTGGTCAAGTGACTCTTCTAAGTCTGTTTCCTCACTTCTAGGATTTTTTTTCTATTCCAACACTCCCAAATTTCTTCTATGACCTCAGACAAGGTGTCCTTAGACTCTCCCAGGACTGTTTAGTCTAACAGAAACTACATATTGGATTGAAAATAAAAATATAATGAGCCAATAAAAGAAGCTATAATTAAAGAATCACACAGGCCATGTGTTGCAAGCTGGAAAGTCTAAACCAGAGTTTAGGACAATTTACATAAATGAACATTGGTATATTTCAATCTTTTCAGTAACTACAAGGCTGACCTCTATGAAATAAGTTGATTTAATTCAAAACCTGTGATACTTTGTCACTATTTCATCACAAACTGGTAAAGCAGGGAATTCTATACAGCAGTTCAGACATGAAGGAAACTATGAACTATCAAAAAGTCCTACAACTGAAACATGTTTTGATACATAGGCTGAATATGTCTGTACTCTTCCACCTTCTACTGTGTCAAGAGGAAAGAAGTGAAAGAGATTACACAAGTGAATAAAATCCAGCAGTATTTGTGGCAATGGGACAAATACTGTGTAAAGAAGAGAAGTGGGAAGAGCCCTTTCCATAAAGAGGACTGATTTGGATCCAAAATCCATAGCAGGAAGAATAGGCATGACACCTCCTTTTAGGGACTCAGGAGCTGCCAGCTAAAAGTCACTTGGAAGACCACTTGACTTCTAGCTTTTGCAGTTTTTTGTGGTTCAGTTAATATAGAAAAAGGTGAATACTAAGGTAAATCAACTCATACACATTTAAACATTAAAGGTATTCCTCTGAAGCACAGTTTAATTGGAAACTGTTGTTTCAGATTAAAGCAATTAACTGCAGCTTAATACCCACAAAATTTGCCTCCTCTCTGCTGAGAACTGGCAGAAGGCTAGGTGTCTCAGTTGAACTCAGTCATCACAGAAATCCTCATTTTATTACAGAATGCCCAGAAAAGCCTTTTAGCTAGATTTCCAATTCTGGGAAATTGAAATGGGAATTGGATTCCCATTCCCTTTTCCAATCAATATATAACAAGATTAACTGTGATAGATAAAGCAAAGCTTTATCTAGCTGACCCAAATTCATAATGAAAGTAAGGAACATGGATGGTATGGGTGTTTAGGGATATGGTTCTGCCCGCCACTTCCCATCACCAGAAAAGGGTCTTAGAATGTTCTTAGAAAGTCTATTCATGGGGCTGGGGATGTGGCTCAAGTGGTAGCGCGCTCGCCTGGCATGCGTGCGGCCCGGGTTTGATCCTCAGCACCACATGCTAACAAAGATATTATGTAAATAAATATTTAAAAATCCTCTATCTCTCTCTCTCTTTAAAAAAAAAAGTTGAATTATGTTTTTACAATGTTTCTTCCTAACCTGAAATACACTGTCCATCCCCTGACTGCCCAAATCTTAGCATTCTTCCAGACTCTCACATTCTCTTTCATGTGTCTTCCTGATTTGCTACAACTCTCATTTCACCTCACCTTCTCTTTAACTGAAATAGGTATAACTACCATACAATTTAATGCCTCATGCCTCATAGTCTACTAGATATTTCTAAATATTGATTTCCTTTATAGTGAACTTGAGGGTATGCACAGTCTTACATGGCAATGACCCTGATGAAAATACTATGATGGGACCTGGGATGTTATTGCAGTTCAGAGGACAAAGGGCTCTGAAATTGGACTTCCCTGCCTTGAACTCCACTTATTAGCTTACTTATCAGCTGTGGGGCCTTCCTCAGGGAACTCACCTGCCCCAAACCTCTATTTCTTTGTTTTAAAACATGCAGATAATAAAATTACTACCTACTAATGTAAAAGTCCCTGGAAAGCTCTTAGGAAAGCACTAAGCACAAAGTAAGAACTCTGAAAAATGTACTGTTTTCCTCATAATGATAACAGTCATTATTTTAAATAGTTCATTATTACTTATAGAGCACAACATAGGCCTAGGTCATATTACATATCTGTAAAGAGTCAAACTTAACCCTGAGAGTCAATCAACCACTCCAATCCCAGGGTATGGGTAGATCCAGCCTTTCAGAAATATGTCTCCTTGTGTTTGTTATGACTCTAGAATTTTTGAGCACCCTGGAGGACTGTTCTCTCTGTACACACATAGTGGGGAATGACACACACAGTGTCACACGGAAGATGGGCAAAGATACCCAGCAGTGACTGTTTTTCACTGATGCTTACATGAGTCAAGCTTATATGATTAAAATATTTTCTTTAGAATCAGCCAAACTATGTCTTTTTTTTTTTTTGGTCAACAGCATTTACAGCTAAATAATTAGTCAATTCAAAATTATTTCACTTTAGGTTTTAAAATCTATTAAATCACAGTTGAAAAATATAGGAAGAACGTCTGGTTTTAGTAGCCAGAAGAAATTGGGATGTGACTGAGGGGGAAAAAATGGTAGCTGTTACGCAAAATATTTATATGATTAAAATTCAAGGTCTTTCTGATCTTTCCCCAGATCCCAACAAATTCTAATCCTATAACACATTACAGTGGAAAATGACAGCTGAAGATGAGAAATAAAATTATTACCTTTCTTTTTTTTTTTTTTAACTTTTCTCATGAAAATATCAGGTAAACTGGCCAGATCACAAATGACACAGTTTTATTCCCTTCAGAATATACTTAAAATAAAGGACAAAAGTATTTCATTATACAGAGCCATTTTTGTTTTTTGTTTATTTGCTTGTTTTGGTTTGGTTTATGTACTCTTAGCTTTTTTAAAAAATTTTTCCTTCCTTTTTCCTTTAACTCTCCAACAAGTCACCACTATATCCATAACACCTAAGGCATTTCTAGAAATGAGCAATTAAGTCCTTCAGTGGAATTTAGACCCAATGTCTTTTTTTAATCTGATTTTCTTTTATAGCTAATATAGTATCGCCTAAGCACATCTCCACAGTGAATTACTTACAGGCTAGGAAGAAGGGGAAGTTAATTCTTTCATAATGCTCTCCAGGCTGCCCTTCCCCCCAACCCTACATAAACCACAGTAGAGGATGCAATTTAAGGGTATGCCATTTGACTCTGGGAACATCAGGTCTTCTGCAAAGGTGCTTTCAGTCCGGATCTGAAATGATGAGATCATGAATTAGGAATGATACTGGTGACCGCGATATTTACCTCTTTGAGACAGCCCATAAAGTTGTTACTGACTGGTGACCCTGGGAGGTCGGCTGTGCTGGGACTGCCTCCAACATAGAAAAAGTCATCAGAACCCAGCATGGTATAATCTTCTTGCGTGTAGCCCGTTGTGGTAAGAATCCCATCCACTGATATTGTCACCTAGATAACAAAGCACAGGGAAAGGACACGCTATACTCAGACCTAGATACTGTAATCCTGGGATATGCCTGTTTTGTGTTTTGTTTTGTCTTATTTTTTTTTCTTTTCTTTTTTTCTTTTTTTTTTGTTTTGCTTTTTTGCTTTATTGTTTTTTCTTTTTTTTTTTTCTGTTTGGTTTTTAGTTTTAGACCTATGGCGGAACCCATTTTCATGTCTGTTTGAGGTTTATTCTTGGATTCTATTCAACTAGTCCTAAGAGATCTAAGCTAGTTAGAGAGTTAACTGATTATTGAACTAGTGTCAGCATCATCCCTACTGCAACTCAAAAGTTATTTAGCAGACACAAAAATGGTGTTAGTAAAATGCTTCCTAGGTTAGTTTTGCTGGTGTACATATTAGTAAAGTTTAGTCGTCTGTTATTCACTAATCACAACGTGCACCTTGTTAACATAAAAGGTGCAAGCTATTTCCAGCAACGTCACTATTTGCACTATTGAGCAGCAACTGTTCAGCATGCAAGTGCCTAAAGTCCATGCCAAAGGAGGAGGGAAGGCAAAACAACCAGTAGAAGCAGCACACGCTGATGTGCACATGCAGGAGGTACAGTACAGTTCAGAAAGGAAAGGAAAGAAAACGGGGAGAACCAAAGGAAACAATAACTGCTTTGTGATGACGTAAAGATGAGTGGGTGTGGCATCTCCAACATTCCCAAATCAAGTTTCCATGCCATGCATCATGAATGGTTAGAGACTGGCTGAGCCTGCGGTCACTCAGGCCAGCCACCATTTGGTCTTATCCCGTGTTAACCACAGCTGGATGCAAAAAACGTTCGAAACGTTAACGATGCCCCTACAGGTGAGTTGGAAAACAGAAGTTGACGGGAACAGGTAAAAAATAAGAAAGTCAACAACGGATGAAAAGAAGGAGGTCAAAGTAAGCAGAAGAGTACCAACCGCAGTTCCTCTTTTGTTAATGATGTCTACAGTTAAAGAAAGAAAGAAAACACACGGCAAACCCAAAATAAGAAACAATTAGAATGATATCTACCGAACAATGTAGTTTGTTTACCATAGCGTGTCCAATGCCTGAGTGCTTTGTGGAGAAGGGGGGAGAAAGGAAATTAAAAACTGTGAACAGAATAACGATCGTTACTTAAAAAATATGATGGTCTCTACCATGTTAGTACATTTTTTTTTTTTTTTTGATTCAGGTAACGGTTAGTAGAATGAAACATTCCATGAATGACATGTTAGTTATTAAGCATGTTAGTAACATAGAAAAAGGGCAAAAAAATTTTACAAGAAAAAAGCAGACTAACAAATAGGCCTCCCACAGAGGTAATACTTTTTTTTTTTCCTGCCATTATGGTTCATATCTGGCTACTAGACAGAAACAGACACAGCCATGTTCCCTTTGTCTTCCTGAGTATATCTGAGAGACGTTGTAGAAGTCTAAAAGGGATTCAAAGGCCTGAAAGCTCATCCAGTGACCACTGCCGCCCTAGGCCCGTAATTGATCCCTCCCCACACCCTGGCCCACCCCAGCCCAGCAAATTAGTAGGAATCGGTTGGCATTGCCCTACTACTCAATTTTACAGCATACAAGGAACTGCTCCTCAACTCCAAAACTTCCTTCGGTCATATTGATGGACTTTAGGGTCACAGTTTACTGCAATGAAACAAAGCAAAGATCCTGACACATAGAATGAGTAGAATGGATTTGTTTTTTTTTTTTTTTAATCTGTCCTGCCACACATGCACCCCGGCTCTGTAACTCCTATTTCCTTTGGAGCTATCAATTCACAGTTTATAGTTTTGTTAACCTGAGCAAAGGCAAATCTAGAAAGTGGGCTCCTCAAGACCCACCCTTCCTTCTGTGCTTCTCTCAAATGAGCCTCCGGTCTCTTGGTGAGTATCTGAGAGAAAAAAATAAAAAAAAGGAAAAACCAAAGAGACAGACTTACAGGAAACCTGTGTTTGGCAGCTATACGGATGGGGTAGAGGGGTGGGGGCACCATCTCCCAAGGCAGTTGTGAAGCATGCAGGGTCCCTCCCATGTCAACAGACATCTCAAAGGTGTTTGGGGGCTCTCAAGAGTCTTTTCAGTGTTACTTGTCTGCTTTAACTAAACTAAACCTCCACTCCTAAAGCTCCCTTTTGCTTCTCTAGCTCAGAGCTTAAGCCTTTCAGAAGCAGGAAAGAAAAGGTTAGAGAGTTAACAGCTCAGAAAGAGAAGGCTGTTTTAGTAAAGGAAAACCAGAGACATTCCGGTCATTCTGCAACTGTTTAGAGAAATGACAAATATGTTAGGGATATTAGTCTGAGATCAGCATGTACCGCAAAAAAATTAGTCACTGTCAACACTTAACAAAATGATACATGGTAATATCATAAAATTTCAAATTTTAACCAAAACTTATAATGATCAATATATAGATAATCTATTTACTTTCATCTCTATATATACTGTAATAATATATCTCAGTTAAAAACATACAGTATATGTAGACCCATAGGTTTAGTGAAGAATCGGTATTGTCCTGGTATATAGCCTTTTGTAAGAATGTTTAAAATATAATCAAATAGAAATGGGCATCTAGAAGATGAACTGGTCTCTCCAGAATCATTTGGAATTTAACTTAAAGTGTCTGTGCTAAAAATAAAAATATCTTCATAAAAAGAATCTTTGGAAGAGATATAAACCCCAAAAGTTATTTTTCCCCTCAGGGACTTTTCTTATTCCCATCTTTGGGGTGGGAGTGAGGAGGGAGTAGGGATTGATACAATCCCAAGTTACAAACATTGTTTTTTTTTTTTTTTTTTTTTTACTACAAAAAAGGAACTGTGATTTAATGACCCCAATGTGCATGCTTCCAAATGATCACTATGGAAACTATAATTTAAAATCAAACAAACAAAAAATCAAAAACACAACAAAATCACACACATCACAGGAAGGGCAGGTTGCAGGGATATCCTTGCAGCCCTCTGGGAAATTGTCATATGTCACCTGTATCAAAATAGCCCTTGGGCCCCCAGAACTTTCTAGATATGCCCCTGCTCAAGTATGGCAGGAAGATTCATCTCAGGAGAAAAAGCTAAATTTTAAGCGACTCTGAGGAGCCCTGACTCATGTTGTTAGAGTTTTCAAGTACCACACACACAGCTGTAGCGAGAAACAAAGCCAGTTACTCTCTTATCCACTGCGCTGTTACCTGACGCAGATTCCTGGTGACTTTCACATCATGCCAGGCATTATCATTAAACTTTCCATTCACGGGCTCCACTAGTGCTTCAAAGGCCCCTGATCCCAAATTAATGACCAGAGAGACAGCTCCATTTTTCAGGGCAAGATTGACATAATCTGCTGATTTCCCGGTGTGAAGCATGAGTCCATTCCTCTGAAGGGTTTTAAAGGACAGAGTTATTTCATCGCTGCTGCTTTGAATGGGGTTTTGAGACAAGTCGTAGCAGAAGTATTCAGATCCCTTGAAAGTGGCAATGTATTCTTCTTTTCCTAGAGGAAAACAGATAGATAGATGCATAAGTAAAAGTACACATTATGCAGATCAGCAGATCTTAACAAAAACAATAACTAATCAGGTCCCAAATGAACTCTTTGCCTAATTAACATTCACAACAAGAGCCCTGTCAAAGAGTCCAATAGTGCTGTAGGTGGCAGTGTATTTTTAATAAACCTCTTCAGCTTTTGGGCCATCAACTATAGTAGCAGCTAAAAGTGACATTCTTGAAAATTCAATTAATTTTTAAGTATCACTGCAAGAGCTCTGATCAGAAAAAAGCAGCTCTGTGATCTCTCCAGGGCATGAATCAGGTACCATAAATGCATATTAGATGGTTCCACTGTGCTGGCACCAATGGATCCCAACATGTTTGCCACATTCTCTCCGTCTAACTGAGGAGTTATTTTAATTTTCAGTGAAACATTTATATTCAAAGATATTTTTTCAATGAAGGGCCACATATTTCTATCACTATGAGGCCATAACAAATTATCTGTTAAGGGGAAGGAAAAAAATTTATTTGATCTGGGGGTAAATATCTCCCATAGAGAATGTATACCCCCCCCCCCATGGAGGGAACAGTGACAGAAAGTCTAATGGAGTCAGCTGAATCGTTAATTCATTCCCTGGTCTCATCAAGCAGATGGTAAGGCTGCCTTTTATGAGACTGGTAAGAATTCTAGCACATCATCTTGGGACAGCCTGTAAATGAAGTCTTAACATCTCCTGTGTATCTCAGTCTTTGCTATATTTAGGATTAGCAATGCGGATCCCACAAGATGCTACACAGATCAAACAGAAATGTGGTTCTTTGGAAAGAGCAGTCTTCTTCTGATGAAGTGAGTTTAACCAAGGGAAGAATGTAAGCCAAAAGCTCCCTTGACTTGCTAGGCAAAGATGAGAGTGTGCCAAGAAAAACGAGATTGTATGGTTGGAAATCAGCTTGCAGTAAACTGTAAACATAGAATTATAAGTGATAATGGAGAAATTTAATCTGTTCCACTGGTAACATAGTTTTGCTGTTATGGCCACTGGAGGGTTTGTATACCAGCAGGCATTCCACTCTGCCCCTGAGAACAGGTTTTTACTTCAGGACTATTTTCTTTGTTAACTCATATCTTGGAATCTGAGCTCAAATCAAGGTTTCAACTCCTCAGTGCCAGATGACTTGAGTTCCTGAATGAAGAAACAAGTCATAGTGGCCATAGATAGCCAAGCCATGGTACCGAGTAAGACCATAAGTAAGCACTAGGGATATTTACAAGGGATTGAACCCTGTTACAACAGTCACGGACTACTGGTAAATAATGAAGACTAGCAGTCATGTCTAACACACAATGTTCGGAGTAAGAGTCACAGGAAAGACAGCAGGCTCCATACCAGTGAGTCCCTCCCCTTTATACATTCAAACTACAGATTGTTCATGCTGCAATGTTAAAGTCTAGTACTGATTTGGAATAAAGAGCGGCCATAGCTAACCTCAATTCTATGTCAGAATGTTTACAGTAGAGGTGTCTGCTTCCCTGGTCAGGTCAATATGATCAAGATTAGGCACCAACACAACTAAATATAACTGTAATATGAGGGGGAGAGATGACCCAAGATATGAGTTTAGATTGCAAGTTGGCCACTTGTGACTGGGAGCAATTATCTTCCCAAGTTCTACTTTCTGAAACTGGTGAGTGATACTGAACTTTGGGGATTGGTATGAAGATAAAATGAGACGTCAGCACAAGCATCTGGTAAAGCTGATGAATGGCAGATGCCTTTCTCCTTGTCTACTTAAAGGGAAAAGTGTGATAAATGATCTAAAACAAAGAACATAAGCCATACTAATGAAATCCAGAATATGCTCTTTAAGATCAGAAACAGAAAAGGATTCCCACTATCAAAATTTCTACCCAATACCATATTTGAAATTGCAGTTAATACAGAAAGATGAGAAAATATATGAACAGTATAAAGATTATAAGAGATAAAAATAACATCATATTAGCAAATATAGTTGTATAAACTGAAAGACCAAAATGATCTATAAATATCACTTGGCTTAATAAGCTATTTTAGAGAGTTTGTGGGGTTCTATATTGTGGGGATAATCAATGTTTTAACATATATAAGTGAATCTATAGATTCAATAAAATTCCAGTAAAAATATCAATGAATTTTTAAAATTAATGTGAAATGTTGATTATATAAGTTCTATAGGCAAAGCAAAGTGTGTAAAATAACTAAGATATGTCAGAGAAAAATGAAGCAAATTGCCTGTATAAAGGTGGACATTTATGATAAAATTGTGACAATTAATAGTATACATTAAGAGGAGAATAAAGATAAGCTAAAATACTCCTAAGTATATGAAAAATAATTTATATTGAATCAGACATTGCAGATAATGAGCAAAGGATAGATTTGCCAATAAATGATGCTGAGACATCTGGTCATCTAGCTAAACAAAGTGAAATTGGATCTTTATATCGTTGTATCACAAAAACCAATTCTATCTGGATTAAGGATATATTTAAAAAAACAAACATGTAAAGGCTTAGTAGGATTTATACAACAGACATAAAAGGTACTAAAGGTATTAATAAATTCATCCACATTAAAATTAAGAAAATCTGTTTTTCAATAAAGAGTAATAAGACGTTATATGAAAAGATGAGTGCAAACGTTTTCATTTCATATTAATCAATAATGTAGGATCTGGCAAGTACCCCAATAAATCAGTATGAAAAAAGACAAAGGGAGAAAAGGAAAAAAGAACTGTTGAGAATTTCATAGAAAAAAGATAAATGTGGCCTATGGATAAATGAAAAATAAGCAATCCTACCAATATTCAGAGAAAGGCAAAAAACAAATTATATACAGATTGCATATCACAGCCACAAAACTGACAAAAATTAAAAAGAAAAGATCAAAAGATTCCAGATTTTGGCAAACCCATTGATATTCATTCTTCTCTACCATTGTTGAGAGCATGGACAAGATAAAAACTGGCCAGCTGCTCTGGGCTCCGCTTGGCCTTATGCATAGTCCCATGGTTATTTGTCAGAGGATAAAGAATTTGGGGTCTCAGTCTTTAGAAAAGCATCAATAAAGATACTATTCTCTAGTGTTTTCACTCATTTCTCCATACTAATTGTTCTGTTTTTGATGATAAGTCATTAGAGGATTCTTGGTTTATCAATATATACATACATCCTCCATGATGAGACCCACTTTTCTAACGATGACATTTGTAATAATTTATCCTCCTACTGGATACTCAGAGCAGATCTTTGTGCCAGTGGAAGCATTACAGACCCTCCTCCAGCTCAACCCCTGCATTTCTGTTATTAAGAAAATGAAGCCCATCAGGTTTAAACAACTGTCAATTTCATAAAATGTGCCTGTAACAGAGCTGGACTACCAATCCAGTTTCTGTCTGATATGCCAGGCCCCCTGTAGGAAGGTCAGAGGGTAGTGCCAGGTAGCATTCAGAAAGCTAGGGGAAAAAAATGACAAACTATGTGTTTGTAGTAAGAAAATAATAATTATGTTTAGTCTACCTGTATAATAAGGCAGAAAAGCATATAATATATTCAGAAAGCATCCACTTAAATAACTGAATAAGTTTTGGGAACTGAAGAGGTTTGGTATATTTAAAGACTGTAGCATTTTATCCAAGAGACCTCATGCCATTACAAGTCTGTGTAACTCAGAATGAATTATTAAAAAAAAAAAAAGAAGAAAGAAAAGGATTTCTTTGACAGATAATGTGGCAGAGCCAGGGGGAGAACACTACCCAGAGTTGCACTTCATTAGGTCATGAGCTCTGAAGTGTATGAGTGTTGATGTATTTTAACACTACATTTCTGTTACTTTAAAATGAAAATATACCACATATGTTGTTTAATTACAAATTTAGGTAATTCACATTTGCATTAAATGCAATTACATGATTTTAGAAAAATTTACATTTTGTAATATGCAATTATCTTAAAATGCCATAAATGATTCATGAAGCTAAGCAGGAAAAATATTTTTCCTTGTTCTCTTTCATAAAAGAACATACATACTACATGAAAATACAAAATCACTTTATTTTCTATAGTATTAGAGGATTATATTGTTTTGAGCTCTTTGCTACCTTAATGTTTTTATCATTAAAATTTGTGCCATATCATAGGCAAATGCCAAGGAGCACAGTGAAGTATTTATGCTTTTATATGGAGCTCTTAATGAATAGGTCTACGTCAATTTTAAAATGCAATTCTTAAATACCTTATATGTGTTATATGGTTAAAACAATAAAAATGAAAAATAAATTAGACCCACAGCCATGCATATGTCAAAAAATACTTACATCCAAGATACATAAAGAACTTATACAAATTAATAATAAAAAGTTAGACAATAGGAAAAGTAGAAAATACTTGAGCACTCTTAAATAAAAGAAGATCAATGTGAAAAGATATTTAATTTCATTAGTCCTCAGAGGAATACAAATTAAATCATAATGAAATGTGATCATATTCCACCAGAATGAGTAAAATGAAAAAGACAAACAAAAATTCAAAGAGTCAGTGAGGGTGGGGAGCAATTGACACTCTCATAGAATGTTAGTAGGAATAACTTCAGGAAATTGATATTATCTTTTAAGGCAGAACATAGGTCTAACCTATGAATCTCACTCATAAGCTTATATATAACGAAAATGCATATTTAGATCATCAGGATAATAATATACCAGAATGTTTGTAGTGACACCCTACATAATAACATCAAACTGACCAGTACTGAAATAATAATTCATGGTAGAAAAGATAAACAGATTGAAGTAGAGTCATTCAATGGAATATTAAACAGCAGTGAGAATATATGCTATACAATTACTTGTAGATATATGAATAAATCTCACCATAATAATGATGAGTAAACTTCATCCCGTTTTGCAAAAATTTAAAAACAAGGCAAACTATGCTGTCGAAAATTAAGGTAATAGCTACCT